ACTGTTAAAAGTCCTCCATTGGAGATGCTCTTAATATTAATTACTAGGCCTGGACTCGGGCCGGGCGGCCCGCCCCGGAACCGGCCCGCCCCGGTTACTGTTTGAACCAGCCCGGCCCGAGAACCGGTCGGGGGCGGTTCGGGTCGACCCGGCCCGGTAGACAAGCGGTCCGGGCTCGGGCCCTTCAGATGGCGAACCGGCCCGTTCGGGCCTAACGGCTATTTTTTTTAAAAAAATCCCAATTGTTCTAGCCGTTGGGAGGCCACCCAAACGGCTCTATAGCCGTTGGAGGGGGTAGGAGGGAGGGTCCAGTGGTTCTGGGGGTGGGGGGGGTGGGGATAAAAAAAAACTATTTATACTCCTATCTTCTATACATTTTTTACACCTCTTCTCCAACTCTTCCTACTCTCTAATTCTCTATTCCCTCGTACTCTTAAATCTTAATCATCTCCATCTTCATCTTCTCCAAATCTCTCTACATATATATATTATATATATTATTTATATAATTATTATTATATCTACTTATATACTAATTATCTACTTATATATACATATATTACATTACTAATATTTATTATCTACTTAATATATATTAATTATCTTCTTAATATTTACTTTGATATCTACTTATAATCTATACTTATTGTTATTTACTTATATATTAAATTATTAATTATCTACTTTACATACATATATTATATTACTTATATTCCTTATCTACTTAATCTCTACTTATTATCTACTTATATATATTAAAGTATTATATATAAGTGTATTACTCATCTTATAGTAATATACTTATATATTATATACTATAAACATTATATTATATATTAGTTATACAATAATCTACTTATACACCTATAATATATTATTAATATTTATTATCTACTTAATATATACTTATTATCTACTTATACATCTCAATCTTTTTAATATTTACTTTATTATCTATATTTATTGTTATTTACTTATATATATTAAAGTATTATATATATATAAGTAATATATTATTAGTTATACAATAATCTACTTATATACCTAGATTATACTAGTTATACCAAAAACTAGTTAATAGTTACATTTTTCATTTCCCTATTATTTAATCTGTTAATTGTTGCATTCATCATAAAAGTAAAAAACTAGTTAATTATTAATTGTTGCATTAAAGTAAAAAACTAGTTAATAGTTACATTTTTCATTTCCCTATTATTTAATTTGTTAATTGTTGCATTCATCATAAAAGTAAAAAATTAGTTAATTATTAATTGTTGCATTAAAGTAAAAAACTAGTTAATAGTTACATTTTTCATTTCCCTATTATTTAATTTGTTAATTGTTACATTCATCATAAAAGTAAAAAACTAGTTCATTATTAATTGTTGCATTAAAGTATAAAACTAGTTAATTGTTACTTTTTTCATTAAAGTATAAAACTAGTTAATTGTTACATTTTCCATTAATGTATAAAACTAGTTAATTGTTAATTGTTGCATTAAGTTTAAAACTACTAAATTTTATTAGTAAGTGGATTCTTGAAAATTTGCTATAATTTTATTAGTCGCATTTTATTATTACTATTGTTTTCATATTAAAACATTTGATATCATATAATATTTGTTACATTTTAAAGATGGACCGTGGCAGACATTCCGTAGATATGGGTAATCTCCAATGCAACCGAAGGAAGGAGATTGCGACAAGTCATCCTAGTTTACGCAAAGGCAAAGGTAAAGGGCGGGCCGAGTCTTCTTCTTAAAGTCGAGAAGATTTTGATGACGGATACCAAAGGCGAGATGGGGATGCGACGTCCGACGAGCAACTACAACAACTATTGGCACAAAATTATGGTTGCTTTTTTCAACAACAAAACATCCCGGAATCCATTGATGAAGAGGGGCTCGAGGATGACGATGCGGAGGAGGACAAGGGGGCGACGGGACTCACGGCACCCCGGATGATGAGCAAGAGTTGGAGGACGAGGGCGGTCCATCCCAAGTTGGTAAGAAATCTAAATCTCCTATTATAGAAAATAATTTTACAAAGATGAAAGACCTAACAACCGATAAATGGTACGCAAGTTGCGATCATTGCAAGAAGGAGTATAGCTTGGGAACTTCCGGCGGATACGGGAGCCTCAAAAGGCATCTTAAGTCCGCACACTCTGTGGAGTATGCGAAAATAGACAAAGGCAAGGGGAAGCAAACTCAAATATCGAGGTTTGCAAATGGCCAACCTTTTGGTAATTTCTCATACAATGATGCACGAAATTTGACTAGTATGGCTAACTTGTTGAAGAAAATTTGCCTTATTCATTTTCTGAAAGTCTTGCTTTTAAAGATTATGCACAAACTTGTTTAAATCCTCAATTTAGAAGTTATAGTCGCAAAACGGTTAAGAAAGAAATTATAAGGTTTTATCGTGCGGAAAAGGATAGGTTACAAATTTTTTTTGCAAATTTTGATGGCCGTGTAACTATTTGTTCTGACATTTGAGAGGATACTTATCATAATTTACATTATTTGGGCCTGACTGCACATTTTATTGATAATGATTGAAATTTGCATAAACGTGTTCTTGCTTTTCGTGAATTTAATGATCGTCACACCGCTGAACATATTTATATTTTGATTGAACGTATTTTAACTAAGTATAATTTGATTGATAAAGTGTTTGCTATAGGTTTTGATAATGCTACTAATAATACTGTTGCTATACCTAGATTGCGTGAATTGTGTGATCCTAATACTTTGATGGATAGATTTTTTTCATCAACGATGTGCATGCCATATTATAAATTTATGTGTGCAAGACAGTCTAAAAGCGTTAGGAGATGCTATGGAGGTAGTCAAGGGGGGGATTAGACGTGTTTGGGGCAATGGTCAACTTAAATTAAAATGTCAAAATTATTTGATTGAAAGAGGTGTGAAATATGTTGCTTTTCCTAAAGATTTGTCTATTCGGTGGAATAGTACTTATAAATTAATTAAAGTTCTTCTTAGATATAAAGAACATTTTTCTGCTTTTTTAAGACAATATGATAACTATATTTTAAACCCCGCTCACATCGACACTTGCGAAAAAATTTGTAATGTTTTGATCCATTTTAATAATACAACTGATAGTTTTAGTCATATTTATAAACCTACCTCAAATGAATTTATTCATGAAATTGTTAATCTCGCCTGTGCTTTTAATGAATTTGAGAATGCCGCTTAGGCGCTTACGTGACTTATTTTTGTGATTTTATGAAGGAAAAGTTTTTAAAACATTATGCACATATTCCACACATTTATGGTATTGCATTTATTCTCGATCCTCGTTATAAACTTGGTAATTTGGAAGAATGTGTGAAGTTCTATTATAATGTTTTTTTTGGTCCATTTCCAATGTATGACGATAACGCCATAGATCCGCAAGTTGAATTACTTGAATACAACGAGGCTAGTAATTTATTTTATGCCTTATTTAATGAGTTTCGTGCACAATATGGAAACGCGCCCCCTCCCCCGACACACACATCTTCATCTAAAGGAAAATCACTTTTTAAATCTGTTTTTGGCAATCTTATGAAAAAACCTAAAACAACTCACACTACTGAACAAAACGCACTTAATGAGATTTCTTTGTATATAAATTATGAGGTAGAACTTGATGAAAATGAGGAGTTTGACGTTCTAAAGTGGTGGAAGTCAAAAGAAAGAATGTTCCCTATTTTGGCACGGATGGCTAAGCAAGTGCTATCAATGCCGGTTTCAACAGTTGCCGTGGAATAAGAATTTAGTTCAGCCGGCAACGTTCTAACGGCATCTAGAACGAGTTTGAGCGCTGAATCTCTTGAGACGCTTATATGCTACCACGATTGGTCGAAAGTCATACGTAGATGTCAAGAAATTAGCATCACCCCCTCCCAAGACTTTATGGATGAATCAACAACTGAGGGTTATGGGTGGACCGGTTCCGGTTCGGGCCCGGTTCGGGCCTGGGCCCGGTTCGGGCCTGGGCCCGGTTCGGGCCTGGGCCCGGTTCGGGCCTGGGCCCGGTTCGGGCCTGGGCCCGGTTCGGGCCTGGGCCCGGTTCGGGCCTGGGCCCGGCCGGGCCTCGATTCAGAAATGGGAGGCCCGGAACCGGCCCGGGTAATCCCGGTTCCGGTTCGGGCCGGGCCGGGCCTCGGTTCTATTTTTTTTTTTTGGCTTTTCCTAATTAATCCCCAACCCTCCCCCTCACCCCCAAACCACCTCAAATGGCCCAAAATACCAAGCCCAACCCAAAAACATAAAAAAATTCAAAAAAAAATAATAATTTGGCCCGAACCGGGCCCGAACCGACCGGGCCGGTTCGCCAATCAAAGGGCCCGGGCCCGAACCGCACAGTAACCGGGCCGGGCCAACCCGAACCGCCCCCCAGACCGGTTCTCGGGCCGGGCCGGTTCAAACAGTAACCGGGCCGGGCCGGTTCCGGGCCGGGCCGCCCGGCTCGAGTCCATCCCTACTGAGGGTGGCTCCTATGTCGGAGATTCCGATTGATTAGTATTTTATAATTTATTATAAAATGTATTTCATGTTTTAATTTTTCCATCAATTCTCTATTATAATTTGTAAAGTTGTAGTTCATATTTCAAATAAATATACATTCTTTTATTAATATGTAGCACTTCTCAAATTAATTAATTAATTAATTAGTTGGTTACAAACTTACAACTTACAACTTAGAATTTATTGTATTAGTATTTTTTGAAAAATGTATTTCATATTTAAGTTGTAAAAAAAGAAAAAAAAATTGCCTAGGCCCGACCCGACCCAGCAGGTGGCCCGGCCCGGGACCCGGCGGGTGGCCCGGCCCGAACCAGAACCGGGTGAAGGACGGGCCGGTTCCTGGCCCCCCATTCAAGGACCGGAGGCCCGGCCGGGCCTAGGCCTGAACCGGCCCGAGTCCAGGACTATTAATTACTATGAAGATCGACTAATCAACATGAATGACAAAATGGAAAGTGGGATGGAAGATTTTTGTCTGAAGGCCATTCGGCCATTCCTACGGAGATCAAATCTCATGTTCCTGTATAGTGGCTGCAACCTTAACTCTTTGATCTATGGGAATAAGTGAGAACTGCTCGATAATTATTACACCCGGCCTGGTTGGTTCTTGAACGGAGAATGTTTTTTTGTAAACTAAACCTAACCTATCACCAAAACTGCAGCATGAGACACAAATCAGCAGCTAGCACTTCAAGCCAATGGGCGTAAGAATAATCAGGGGCAGATCCAGAAACCCGTATCGGACTGGGCTGAAGATTAATAATTGTACGGGAAAACTGTCAATTACACCCTCCTACTATGTACGGAAAGTCAATTAAGTCCTCATACTTTAAAAACACTCAATTATATCCTCAAACTCTTAAAAATCGTTCAATTGAGTATATCTAGCAAGTCACCCACCGGTCTCCCGGTTAAATACATGCGTGGCAGCCCACGTGGCAAACCAAGTGTCATTTATTTTTCATTTTTCTTTTTGTTTCTGTTCCCTTTCCTTTCTTTATTCTCTTCTATCTTCCCTGGGTTGAACGCCTCCTGCACGTGTCCCCTCGCCTCCGTTTCTTTCTCCTTTTCTTTTACAGAGCCTCATTTCCCTTCTTCCCAAAAAGCAAACTCACCGGAAATAGACCTGAGATTAATGCGATGACAGCCGTCTCAACCATTGGAGCCTACTGCTCATCGGAGTCTTCCTCAACGTCGCGTCGTCGCCGGAATCTAGCCGGCAAAAGAAGAAACGAACAGAGGAGAAGAGAGTGGCGCCATTGTTGCCAGAATCTACCCACACTTGCAGCCGCCATCGTCGACAGTGGTGTCGTTGAAACTGATGCTCAGATCTACGACGAGAACACCATTGTTGGCAGCCTAGAAGCTTAATTTCTGATAGAGTCAAAGTTGAAACCAAAGAGAAAAGGAAAGAGGTGGCTGGAGCCCTAATACAGTAATACTCCGGGCATATTCATAAAGCAACCTGAAAAACAGAAGAGAACGAAGAGACAGCTGGGATTTGGGAACGAAAATAAAGGGAGTTGGGAAGAAGAAAAGGAAGAGAAAGTAAAAAGAAGAAGAAAAAATGTTAAAAGGAAGAAGAAATAGTGCAGAGGCTGAGAATTGGGAACGTAGAGACCGAGAGACGAAAACAATAACAGAAAATAGAAAAAGAAATAGAAAAGATAAAAAAAATGCCACGTGGCCTGCCACATGTGCAACTTACTCAATTGAACGTTTTTTAAGAGTTGGAGGATATAATTGAATGTTTTTAAAGTACGAGGGTCTAATCGGCTTTCCGTACATAGTAGGAGGGCGTAACTGACAGTTTTCCCTATAATTGTACCACACTTAAACATTAGTGGGGTGGACTAATATTGAAAATGACAAATTACTCTGTGCCTCAGTCCACCATAATCCTAAAGTAGATCCTCCTTGGGGATAATAATTGAGAAGAAATTACTCGTGTTTTGATTTCACATGTTTCTTATTTTTCTTGTCTCCAACTGTAGTAGAATCTCCATAAGCCGCTTGGCAAGCGTGAATGACAGCACGAATATGTGGATCTTCTTTTGGGATTTCACGCAATAGTTTTGCTGCAGATTTTCGAGAGCCCAATGCCAAAACAGCTTGGTACATCCTGCATTAACATTGCATTTGTAAATTACAACTTTGAATGGGTTTTAAGTTTTAACAATCCATATCTCGCCAAGTACTTTGTGGCCCTGATCGAATCAATGCTGAGAGGATGTTCAGGTTTGAGTCTCATCCCAATCAAGGATTTTGCATTATAATGAGCAGATATTATAATAGATTTAAAATGTTTTCTAAAAAATCCATATTTTTTTACATAATAAAAAGATGTCTATTCTATTCATTTTTCCCTAAAGTAATAATACTCCCTCCGTTCTTTATTTGTTGTCTGGTTTGTCCCTTATTCTTTTTGGGATGCTTTTTATTATTTGTCCCTCTTCTTCTCTAGTAAGTTACTACCCTCATTTTTACCATTACTTTTTTTTTACTTTTTACAAATTACTTTCTATTTACTACATTTATACTACTATTATATTCCTCTTCTCGATATATTCTTTCCTACTTTTTCATTAAATTTCTCTTCTTAATATATTCATTTTCCTGCTTTTTCATTTACGCTACACTTTCTATATTAATCCTACATTTTTCTAATTAGAACCCTAAGGGGACAGTTAATAAAGAACGGAGGTAGTATTAATAAACTACTAATATTAAAAAGATGGACAAAAAATGACTTCTGGTCCGCAATGGCCGTAGTGACATTTTTTGGTTTTGAGGTTCATTGTAGTAATTTTATAGGGAAAAACCCCTAATAATAACCAAAACGATCAATTGAAGTTCATTTGATAAACAGACTTAGATCGCAAGTTCTTCTGTCCACTCATGGATCAATCTACTTGAGAGGGTGCAATTTATTTACCTCAGATAACTCAAAGAATTGTAAACAATACCAGCTTCTCGATACTCCCTCCAAATCTTGGAGCATGTCAGTGGATCTCTGGCACTAACGCAAGCACGTAAGAGGAAATCAAGGCATTTTCGAGATGGACGAAGACCAAAGTCCTTTTTAATAGCTTGAAGCAAATTCCAGCCAAAATGCAAGGTTGTTGGTTCCTTCTCCACAAAGCGGAAGAAAACCTACTCCATCACAACAAAGGATATATTAGTTAGTGTCTTGGGTACCGTTTGACCAATCCATAATCCATTAAAGATATTAATTCACTTCATCATTAAGTTTATCAGATAATAACAAAGAGATGAGTTGAACCTCATCAAAAAGAAACTCCAGGGTCATCTCATCATCGCTAAATACATCCTTAAGTTTCCTGAGCAACTCAATCGCAGAGCTGGACACCAAAATTAGAAACATAACAAGATATGTATAGCAAGCTCAACTTACTACAACATCATTACTAAAAAGAGCTAACATATCTTCCAATAAACAACATACACTATTAAGTGCAACTAAATGCAACCTATACTAAAAGAGCTAGTAAAACTAAATTCAACCTATGGCCATATGCCTTTTCGCGTAGGCGAGGCATGGTGCCAGCTGACGGATCCGGAGCCTCTTCATTGTTTTAAAGCAAGACAGGGTGCCTGGCTCTTCCGGGCCGTTCGATCGGGAATTGGACGGCCGAAGATGTTGGGCTCCACTCCTTTGCCGATCTCGAGGTCGCCCGGGTTGCCTCCCCGCCGTCGGATGCCGCAAGGCACTCTGCCTTATGGCAGAGGATCCTGATCGCCAGCTGACCGTCTTAAGGCCTAGGCATCTAGGCTCCTGTCTAGGTGACAACTACGCGGCAAATAATTTCATATGTAATATTTAAATATAAAAAACAATAGTAATACATTATACATTAAATAAAAACATAAAAATATGAAACAAAACAAGGATGATGGGAAAAAATCTGGCAATTCAATTACAAGAAATTGCCCTAATGGGACTAAAACAGGGTTAAAATTCTCAAATAGGAGTTTAAGTGTTTTCTTCCATAAATAGGACTCCAGATTACATTTTTGCTCTCAATTCCAAAAACATCCATCGATTCTTCCCCAATCTCCTCTGCTATGGACGCAGCTTCTCCACCATCGAGCGCAGCCATCTGCTAATTGATGCCAAAGGCCCACCTCCTCTCTGATTTCTTCAACGAAGTGTGGTATTCTCCTTCCTCCTCTAGCACAATTCTTAAGTCACAACTCTCAAGGATCATTCATTATTAAAAGACGAGTCCATTTTCTTTTAGTAGTATCGCAGGCAGGCAGGCAGGCAGGCAGGCAGACAGGCAGGCAGGCAGGCAAGCAAGCAAGCAAACAAACAAACAAACAAACAAATAAAAGCACCGTCTCGATGGATCCTTGCAGTGACTTGTTGGAGGGCGGCGGCTTCACCGAAGGATGGCGACGGCAGACTTGCTGCAGGGTGGATGAGGCATAGTCCATATGATGTGCCAAGTGCTTACACGCAAGGCACCGGCAAACTAGAGCTTGGGAGCCCGGGAAAGTTAACTTTATTCCATTAAGGGAAATCTGGTCATACTAATACATTTTTAGTCTCATAAAACATAGAAGTCCTGTTTAGGGAATTATCTCTTCTTGTAGTCCTATTTAGAGAAATCTTTCTTCCATTATTTATCTAGAACATATGTTCAATATAAATTTTCACAAAAAAAAATCTAACATAAAATAAGGAGTAATCTGGAAAAAAAAAAGTGTAGCAGAAGTTCATTAACAAAGATTGAAAGATTGTTAAAGCAGAAGTTTACTACTTTACGTATAAAATAGTTTACAGTAAAAAACACATAGTACATGATCATCATCATTACCCCTGTGCCGTAAAGGCTCCTACCTACTGTGGGGTAAGGGGGGTCGGATGTAATAAGCAGTCTTATCCCTGCACTAAAGCAGGGAGAGATTGTTTCCGAATGACCAATAGTGAAAATTGCGTCGAAAATTGCATGGACTCACTGTTGCTTAGTAACAAAGAAGCACAAACAGTTTAGTGAACCATTTTGCTTTATTCCATCATATTTTCAAGCCAAAAAAATAGTGAGTCTTTGGGTCACTGTGACGGTGACCTGGCCGAGTGCTATATATTAACAACTAATTATCTTCTAGAAGACTAAAACTCAATATTCTGGGTGAGTTGGGTCGGCGAAAACCATGACGACTTGTGCAGGGGTGGAGTCGGGAGACTGGGTCAGTACAAAGAATATTTTTGGGAAAAAATTTATACAGAATATTTTACACTAAAAAAGTAAAAATATAGGCTTTTTTTAAATTTAGGTGGGTCGGGGCTAGGTTGCCCACCCCTAGCTACGCCCCTGGCCTCTATGGCGCATAATAGACGCTGAGTTACGCCTAGGCAGCTTCAGGCAAATCGATTGGGCATGGTACCACTCCTCCACAGCCGGGATGACTAGGTGGTGCCGTTAGAACAATGCAGCAGTCAACAGGCAAAGTTCAAAATTTATCAACGAGATAATAAGGTTTATACAAAGAGTAAAGAATTGAACCTTAAATCTTCATGCCGAACACAATATGCTACAACCTTGAAACAAGCTCTAACCCATTGATCTTGGTCATTTAATCCATCAAGCAGTTGAATTAGTCTACTCAATTCCCCGTCAGACTGCAGATGATCCTGGAGGGTTGCTAAGAGCGGTTAGCGATCAAGGTTTCTCCAGAAGAAAAAGGGTACAGCATAAGACTTACAATAAGTGAAAAAACTGCTCTAGGCTCCAGATTGCATTTATCCTGTTTAATCTTTTCGTACATTTCAAGGGCATCAGATACGTGTCCATGCACTGCAAGAGCTGAAACGAGTACACTCTTTACTTCATTCAAGTTCTTTATGGGTATCCCTTTGTCAAATATTACCTACGCTCCATACATTTATCGTATTGATTAGCTAGCTCATATCTGGAAGCAAAGCTCAAATTATATGCTAAAAGATCTATGTGGTTATATTGACTCAAAAGGGTATACAAGTGGAATACCTGCTTAGCCTTTTCAAACTGTCCACAGGATACATATGCATTTATAAGTGCCATATAAACATGTGTTGTTGCAGGAAGCCCAGAAAACTGCATTTCTTTAAAACACTGCAAAAAGATCAAACTGAAAATTCAGTATGACATTCCACCTCAGTCAAAAACAAAAACATTTTCATGAATATAAGTATCTATGAATCAAGAGCTAAAACTTATTAATGCTCTACAATCTTAAGAAAAAATAATTGAAAGGAACACAAATCATTTTGAGATAATCAGAGCAAATCTTAATATATATACTCTAATTTCAGATAACTATAATAACCGTTGAAACTCAGGAAAATCTTTACTAATGGTTAAAATAATTCAGTGGGCTGCATTCAGTATAAGGCTTAAGTTGAAAACCCTTTTAATTCCACTTGCTGACTTATTATGCCCTCGCTTGTATTAAATGCCAGCAACCACCTCTGGCATTCATTCTACAGCCATTTTTGGTACCACAGCACATATGAGTGAATACTTCAATGGATTTTGTGAAAGGACTTCTGAAGGTGCGAGTAAAATCCATCATCCTGGTTGAGGTGGATCGATTGTCTTAACTCCAAAAATGACTAGTTCATTCCCCTGGTTCATCCTTTCACAGCGGCCTCAGTAGCAACAGTTTTGTTTATGGAAATATCTCTCACTTAAACGGCTTACTAGATTCCTTCCATGTACATGAGAGTTTCATCAGTTCCATCAAGAAGAAATTGTTTCAGCTGAGGCGCGCCCAATTTGGAATTGTCTTCAGCATAGTGGCCTACCACCCATAAACAAAGGTTACTGATCCGATGTTGGAAATGTTCATACTTTGTCTCATGAGCAATCTTTCCTATCAGTGGGCACGTCAGTTGCCATGGAGAAATTATGCATCTTTCACATCACGCTTGGGGACACTCCATTTTTCTTGGTGGGTGGTTCTGATACGCCTCGATTACTTTCCTTCTCTCCAAGGAACAACTAAGCTGAGCACCATCGACGAGGTATTGATGGAACACGGTGTTTGCTTGGGTGCAGAGCAGAGTTCATCTTACAAGCCCAACAATACAGGAAGGTTTAGTGTGATAAAAACTTTTGTGATTTCAAAATTGAGGTAAAAAAAATGGACTTGTCCAAATTGGCAGAGTTGTCAATCGCCCAAAACAAACACAACAAGCTTCATCCAAAGTACAATTCTCACTTTTAGGTTACTACTTGCACAAGTTTTAAAATCGCGTCAAGGATCACCACCTACAGCAATGGGAGCCTCACCACTGCATAAAATGCTACACAACAGCTTGAACCAGGCACGCTTCAATATCTGATCTGGTGGGCACACGAGTCAGACAAAGATGCAACCTGGTAGTAAGGCACCCTTTTGGGATGATTACCCTTTTGTAATGGTATGGACTCTTCTCTCGGCAAGTAGTATGTTGCTATATGCAAGACTACCCCACAAGATTCCTAGCGCTTTCTATATATATTTATAATACACCTAGCTTTTTACATTTCTTAGATTAGAACTAGTGTAGACGTGGGATTAGTACTAGCCTTCTTTTCCTATATTGTATCTATACACACACATATAGAGACAGACACGCATGCATATCCCTTTCCTCCATTCACACAAGATCCAGGTAGTGAAAAAGTTCCTGACTTCCTTCACCGCCAAACATTATAATTTCCCAAGACACAAGATCTATGAAAACCGAACACACAAAAATTTTAAACAATTTTACATAATCCTATTAGTTCCAAGAAGAATGATGTTTTGCAACCTTAATGATATCATCTTCACAATTGCAGTGGCTTATAAGACAGGAAAATGTGAGACTGTCAGGTTTAACTCCTGCATCTTCCATTTGTTTGAGAACCATAAGACCACCATGAATGTTTTTCTGCATTGAATTGAGTTTGGTGAAGAAAAAATGCATACTAGCAAGATAATCATCAACCATGATCTGGCAGTAGCTAGTCTAAATTTACTGACACCCTATAATCAGCTCACTAGTTTAAAAATTTCCTCCAGCGAGCTTTAAAAATATCATCACCCTAAGAATGTAAAAATGATTTGTGTCAAAGAATGCAATAGCATGCCCCATCCAACGGTCCAAAATATAGTACCAGTGAATCTCCAGAATTGTGAAGGACTAGACTCTAGAATGGAAAATTAAATTGCGCAATTTGGGTCTAGAAGACCCTAAATGCTCAACTTTGTGACGTCATGTTGCAAATGAATGCACGTCTCCATCCAAGCTAGCTACCTTTGGACACCTCACCCATAAATGACAGATGTCACATAAGCTATCATGGAGATCTATTTCAAAAATGACAAATCAGAAGAATAGAATGTCAATAAAAATGAAGTAATAAGGCCACCTCATGGAAATAGCCAACCATTATAGCATTATACATGCCAGGCGTAGGAGTCAACTTAAATTTCTCCAGATCACTGATTAAGTTATATGCACCCGCAAACTGCATGAAAGAAACATGCAATGCATTTGTCAGTGCTTCTAAGTTAGGACTCGTAAGAATGTAGCACAAGCTATTGATGTGACAAGAGGGACTCACATCTTTCATTTTTACACTCAAGATTATCATCTTCCTGAAGGTCTCACAGTTTGGCTTTAAATCATGGCAACTTATTATTGAATGCATCCGGCGAACCTTTATAAACACAGAAGAACAGATCGTCACATATACAGAAAAAAGTCAGGAAATAAACAAATACTCTCTCCTTCCCATAAAATAGTTCACACTAGGATTTGGATCGAAGTTTAAGAAAGTGGGAATAAAGTGGAAATGGTTGTGGTTGAGTAAGAAAAAGGTAAATGAATGGTAGCCACACAAAACTTTCCAAAAAGAGAAATGGGAACTATTTTTTGGGACAGCCCAAAAAGGAAACCGGGAACTATTTTGCGGGACGGAGAGAGTAGCATCTTATCATCTTGGTGCGCTGCTTACAGTTGTCAACGGCACAAAGCACAGATGAACTAAAACACTAATTTATATTGAAAACATTATAAAAGCACAACATTGGTAAAAAAAACTCTTGTGAATATGTTATTGATGAAGGTTGGTTATATCACACAAACAAAAAAAGAATGTGTAAAAAAAACAGATAATAGTAATAACTGCAAATGGAGCTTCATGTGACTTCAAAGTGAATACAGTAAAAGTGTGTGGCTTCATTGAGCACCACCAGCAAGAAATTATTATTACTATTACTGTTATTGACTTATTGCTGTTAGACTTATAGTAATAGACTAATAGTGTAATATTACTGAATTGTTGGTTTCTGATAGGGATACATCTGTAAAGAATAAAAATGATAAGTACTTTGGGAGAGTCTATTCTAGAAGAGGAAAGAATAATAGTTAGTTGGTAGTTAATGTGCTGGCAATTTCTGTTATTAGCTTTGAAGGTATAAATAACTAGTCTGGGAAGGGAAATAGCAGGCTGTTGGACAGTTAGTTGGGACTGGGAAGATTCTAGATACTCTGTATCAACCGGAAGAAGTGCTCTTTTGGCCAGAATCAATTGACATACTTGGGCCACATTATTTCTGAGCATGGAGTATCAGCAGATCCTAGCAAAATAGAGGCAATGGTGAATTGGGCTGAACCCTAGGTAGTTTACTCGCTACTCGGTAGCAACTCGGTCAAGGGCCGAGTAGCGAGTAGGACCGATTACTCGGGATTACTCGGTGATTACTCGGCCTTGTATTAATTAAATATAATAATATAGGTGCACGAGATTATAGAAATATAGTAGTCCTAAAATGGTCTTTAAAGTGTCTTAAAATGCATAGAACTGGATAAAAGGATAGAAATCCTATTATTTGATAGGTAATGATGGAAGTCCAGGAGATAACGAAGTATATTAAAGATTAATTAAAGCTGGAATACAGAAAAATGTTTGAGACTCTTCGAGTGGCCTCACACTCCCAAGTTCCCAGTCCCAATTCCCAAAATTCTGCCTGCGTTATTCTTTCCCCCACCCCCCTTTTATAATAAAACTCACAAAAAGGGCCAGCCCTCACGTAAGTAATTGGGCCTAAAACCCTATTATTGGAAAACATTAAAAATACTTGATAAGACTCTAATTATTTGTAGTGCCCGGGTCCCTATCATCACTCCCCCCTGAACTTCCACCTTGTCCTCAAGGTGGATGATAAGAGACTGATTTTCCATTGGGTTTCAGCAGGTTTTCAGCTTCATCCCGTTCATATAACTGATCTGCTGTTCCCTTCTCTTCTTCTGGCTCTTCCATCAAGATAAATTGATAATTTTTCATTCCACATACATGCTCTTTGCCCCATTTGTTTCCACATTTGAAGCATAGGCCCTTCTTGCTTCTTTCTTCCAAGTCCGTGATATGAAGCAGAATCTGGGCTTGGAAGAAGAGGGGCATAAGCCCCCGTGGGTTTACCGAAGGCGGGACGGGCTTGAGCCCACCTTTGTGGGCTGGTTGCGAGCTGTTTAATTAATATTTATTATTCCTTTTATTTTGTTTCCTAATTTAATTTGTTTCCTAGTAGGATTTATTTAGGACTTCTATTCTTATTAGAATAGAGGTTTCCTATTTCTATTTAGTTTCCTAGAATGATTTAATTAGGAGTTCTATTAGAACTAGAGGTTTCCTATTCTATTTAGTTTCCTAGATTAATTAGGATTCCTATTCTTATTAGACCTAGAGGGTTATTTATACCCCGTGTATGTTTCATTCTTGATGATCTTGGAATAAAAGTTGGTTTAGCCTTTTGGCTCTGGGCAACGGTATTTATTTATCGTTGATTATCTGGGCAACGGTTCACCCCGTTGATTTTTATTTTTCTGTTCTTACCAATTGGTCCGACCTGCCGGATCCCGTCCCGCCGGAATGACGAGATCTATCAGTGAACATTTGTCAGAGATGGTGGCCAAACAAATTCGGATGAATCAAACCCTAGAGGAGCACGGCGTGCGTCTGGCAGAGATCGCCGCATCCCTGGCAGCGCTTACCAAGGCGTTCGTTCCGTCAGTCACGACGGAAACAAGCCCTGACGCGGTTGGCAGCCCCACCGTATTTGTGCCCAGCAGCGACGGACAGCCGCGCGGCGTCACTTCCTCCTTGACTGTGCTCACAAAGGCTCTCGCGCCGCCAGCGGCGGAGGAGAATTTATCGGCGATGGCTTCACTTGACGCGGCAGCAACATCCACGTTCGGAACTGGACTGTGCAACACTTCTCTCACGACGCTGCCCTCGTTTGACGGAGAAGACCCGATCGGTTGGGTTGCTAGGGTTGAGCATCAAATCGAACTGAGCTGTACTCCGCTGGGAAAGAAGGTGGCAGCCACTGTAGTTGTGATGGAAGGGTCAGCCCTGTACCGGTTGACCTCGTTACGGGCACGAAAGCCGGGCATGTCATGGGATGAGCTTACACAAGCATTGGTGGCTCGTTTTGACTCACGGTTTAAGGGCAATTGCTTTGAACGGCTGTCCGGAGACAAGCAAACAGGGACTGTGGAGGAGTACATCTCAATTTTTCCTAAAGATACTGGGCAGCCACCGGGAACAAATGTCAGCCGGTTTCCGGATTCCAACCTTGAGGACAAGGTTTTTTCGAAGGGGGATGGAATTGATATGAAGCAGAATCTGGGCTTGGAAGAAGAGGGGCATAAGCCCCCGTGGGTTTACCGAAGGCGGGACGGGCTTGAGCCCACCTTTGTGGGCTGGTTGCGAGCTGTTTAATTAATATTTATTATTCCTTTTATTTTGTTTCCTAATTTAATTTGTTTCCTAGTAGGATTTATTTAGGACTTCTATTCTTATTAGAATAGAGGTTTCCTATTTCTATTTAGTTTCCTAGAATGATTTAATTAGGAGTTCTATTAGAACTAGAGGTTTCCTATTCTATTTAGTTTCCTAGATTAATTAGGATTCCTATTCTTATTAGACCTAGAGGGTTATTTATACCCCGTGTATGCTTCATTCTTGATGATCTTGGAATAAAAGTTGGTTTAGCCTTTTGGCTCTGGGCAACGGTATTTATTTATCGTTGATTATCTGGGCAACGGTTCACCCCGTTGATTTTTATTTTTCTGTTCCTACCAGTCCGCTTGTGCCAACCTTTGGCCACTCTCCCATGTCTTATTTGGTTTTGGCGATTCCTCCAGTTTGTTCTCTGAGAGTGTTCTCTCCGGAGCAGTTGTTCTTCCCTTTGTCGCTTCCACCCAATTCCAGGCTCTGACAATTTTTCCTCCCTGTTCCTTCAAGCCTTTGTTGTCTTCTTCTTTATTTGTTTCTCCTGTCCATACCTTGTTCTTCTGTTCCACTAGCTGGGCTGTGTCCATAAGATCAGTTAACCCCGTGGTACGGTGCAACTTCAGCTCTGAGCTAATTTCTTCTTTGAGGCCTTTAAAAAATACTCCTTTTAGCATCTCTGGGTCAGCAATTTTGAGGGGAGCTACAACCCTTTCGAAATGATCCCTGTACTCCATTACGGACTTAGTTTGCTTAATTTTGAGCATAGGGCCAAACGGGTTCTGAACTAATTCTGGCTGGAAGCGTCTGATCAAAGCTTCCTTAAAATTACCCCAGGAGTGGTCATCAGTCTGTTCATCCCACCATTGATACCAGTTCAGAGCCCTTTCCGTCATGGCTATCAGGACAACTTCCACTTTGTCACCCTCCGATACATGATTTAATTTAAAATAACGTTCAACCCTGAAAAGCCAACCGTAAGCATCGTTTCCGCTAAACAGCGGCAAATCCACCTTTCTTCCAGTATAAACCCGATCGTTAATTCTCGTATGCTCAGGAGTACGAGAAACAGATTGAGAATCATGAGGGTTACCTCCTGAATTGGACGAACTCACGCTGGCAGAAGTGTGGCGCCGACAAGGTGTGGCCGATCGTCCTCTTCTTCTCCGGTGACTATCTTGGACTTCGAGACCTTGCATCTTTTCCAGCAACAACTGTACTTTCTCGTCCAACAAAGCTCTCATCTCTGTTCGGATCTCTTCCCTGGAAAGCTCCCATGATCGCTCCAAACTTTCAAGCCTCTGTTCCATGTTTGACCGTGTGAATACCATACACAGGTACAGTGGTCGAAGCTCTGATACCAATGATAGGTAACGATGGAAGTCCAGGAGATAACGAAGTATATTAAAGATGAATTAAAGCTGGAATACAGAAAAATGTTTGAGACTCTTCGAGTGGCCTCACACTCCCAAGTTCCCAGTCCCGATTCCCAAAATTCTGCCTGCGTTATTCTTTCCCCCACCCCCCTTTTATAATAAAACTCACTAAAAGGGCCAGCCCTCACGTAAGTAATTGGGCCTAAAACCCTATTATTGGAAAACATTAAAAATACTTAATAAGACTCTAATTATTTGTAGTGCCCGGGTCCCTATCATTATCCTAATGATGGAGTAGCAAAATCCTATTATCCTAATGATAAGAAACGAGTCAGGGGAGGGGAATATACGAAAGAATTGATATCAATTCTCACTAAAGCTCCAATCATACACATTGCCAATGAAAAATTAATATAAAAAATGAAAGCTTAACATGTACTACCTCCGTCCCATAATGCTTGTCCATTTTCAATTTGGCACGATTATTAATAAAGTGGTTGAAAAGTAAAAGTTGTGGTTGAGATTTGAGTAGAATAAAGTGAATTG